CCATCTAAAAGCACTCGTGGCGTAGATATCTCTGACCGAAATTGATTTTTCTTTTGGCGATCAGATGATGTATGTCGCTATAATTTCTAAATGGCGTTTTTTCCATACATCATCACGTCAAGAAAGGTATAGGCCACTTAATTTCCAAGATGAAATCTCTCAAAATGAAATCAATATGGCTTAGGCACTTCATTGCCCCAAGCCCTTCACTTGATTGCCCACTATTGAAATTTTCTACTATCACTTTTGCGTAAAAAGGTAGCATTCATGAATCAATTTCCAAAAAATAATTGGAGAGAAGTGGACTTTTTGAGAATCACTTTATTTTTCCATACTCATCTCAAATAAACATTTTGATGAAAATTATGCAAATGTAAATTGAAATAGTGAACATATAGACTGGATTTTAAAAAATAACGTTCTTAAAAATATTTCTGATTGTCAGCGTAATAAAAAAAATTTGTAGCGATAGATCGCTAATTTCCAATATTCTATACACCCTATGCTTAAGATCAGATAAGTTTAGGCCGTACTAGTACTTATAAATTTGTCTCACTTGCAACGATTACTAAGCCACTACGGTCCTGGTTCGAAAGTAAAACAACTAGCAAGACTTCTCGCTACTACAAGTTCCTTTCTACTCCCGTCAAATGCTATTAGCAGTGTTTGGCTTTCGAGTTGGGATGGTGTCACAGACAAATTATTTGTACTGACGAGAAATTTCACTGTTACTTCAGATATACTCGTATTTTGATTGGATGTGGTAATACAGTCATGTGAAAGTTTATTTTTGTTAAGGTTATTTTGACCTATGACTTCCCTCGAGTCCACACTCCACCCGGACATTCCGGGAACGACTTTACGTCGTCTGGACCTTTTTTAGTACTTAAAGGATCCAAAGATTATATCTACCATCATCATTTGTTAAGAAGGGGAAAAGAAAAAAGAAGAAAAGCCACTGCATAGCTAAGATGTGAAAACATACGGACACTTTGACCATTTTCTTTTCGTTTGTAAATGACGTTAAATAGACCTAAAGTCGCCCGTTTTGCAGACTTGTACCACCACCCGGCAATCGGTACTGAGGTATTCCTTAACGCGTGTGCAATCACTTGAACGGAAGTTTTATACTGCTACTATAACTTCTGGATCAAGCACTCGAAGTGAATGAAAATTTTCAACTCGAAGTACGTAAATGCAACCTGGACCTGCTGCTTGAATGATATCGATTTAAACATAAATATGTACCCTATACTAGGGTTGGAAATAAAACGTTAGTATCATCTTTACGTGACACAACTGTAAACATACTGAAACATCGTAAAGTAATCGTAGCTCTACGATAAACACAACTTTTTCCAAGTCACTATCGTGTTGTCTTGTCTAATGCTTGCCACATTTCGTTCTGCGAATCCACTCTGTGATGGAACGTGATCCAGATTTGCACAAAACAGATGTTGACTAGTTTGATGGAATGCTCTTACTCGCTTAGCGGAGTTTACGATTGAAAACGCCACTGTTAACTGCGAGATGAGTTGCTTTTCTTGAGAGCTAGTAAATCGATGGACGTTATTTGTGTTATGGGTATAAATCAATCAATAAATAGTGCTTAAAATCCAGTAATGAAGATATGTATAATTTGAGGAAGGATATAAGCAGAAAGTTGACAAAACGCTTGACAATAGTAGCACATTCAGTACGGTTCGACTATAGCTTCGGCTTCGGCCACATTCGCCTAAAAAATGCTCGGCTTCGGCTAACATTCGGCCTTCGGCCAAAACAGAACGAAATGAAAAAATCTATACTCACGAACGTCTTACGAAACATCACTTATTAGGGTAGTAAAAAAATGCATATAATTTTACCCATTTTTTTTAAACAATCGAAAAACTTTTGCTAAGCAACAATCAGACCTCATGTTGAAAATTAATCTGTATTGTACGACGTTTCGGTCCCAATGGCGACCTTTTTCGAGTACAATTGTACTCGAGGAATTTTAAACATATATGTTATGTGGGTTGATTTGATCAGTCAAAGATGGGGGATTATCAGCATGTAAACCACAGGATATGTTACAGATCTTACATTAACGAAAAGTTCTAAGCAATGTTAACATTATACATACTAATATAGGCTCTTAGATCATTCTGCTCTATTCAGACCGCTGATATAGGTACTCTGAAATATCTTTTAGCTACCAGTTGGTATAAGTGTTTATAATTTTTCATATATTTTATCTCACAGGATACACATACGAAGATAAAATAGCCAGCGTACTATGTAGTCTTGGTGTGCTGTTTTTTATTTTTTGTTTGTACTGAAAACCTATTAATTAATTAGTTTTCGTCAAAAATTCATTTCATAATCATCTTTGAAACTTCATCTACAGTTGAGACTTTCTTACAAGGCGTATAGATTTTGGAAAATGATCAGTTTTTTTCGGGACTTTTTTCTAGTAACATATACACCAAAGTCTTAAGATTACAGAGATGTTATCATCCGCAAAATAAATCAATCCTAATCAAATCCTAATCCGGTCCTGCACTTCGATCAGATCAAACGTGAATACGTACGACGCGCATCAGTACTTAATACAGGCGCTAGCCGCGTTTGTAAATACAATCTTTCCATATCGGTTCTAAAGAACCAAAGCAAAAATGACACACTCATACAGTGGTTCATATTATTTTAATTTACGGTGTGTGTCTTTGAAATGCTGCCGAGGTTTCGCGAGTGCATACAGATCGTTTTTCAAGATCCTTCGTCATTTTTCTGTGGGGCAAAATGTTTAGTGTATAAAACTGAGGTTAACGCGAATTGTTGTTCTCAGATGCACAAAAGTTTTAAACATGTCGAATATCACTATTACGCTGATGAGACTCAATTATATATTGCTTTTAAAGAATCAAATATGAACCGAACTTTAATGAACATAAATGAGAACCTTCGGGCTCTTTACCAGTTAACAAAAAAATATTGCCTCTGCGTCAACGCAACTAAATCTAAGGCTCTGCTAAAAAAGATTCGTGTATACTCCAATAATTTATACATTTATTTTGGATAAGAAAAAATAACTTTTACAAATTCCGCGAAAAATTCAGGGCTTATTCTGGATACAGATCTACCGTTTATACAGCATATCTTTCTTCCAACCAAACTTGCGTTATCTTTAAAACTGCTATACAATAGCAGAAGCATACTAACCAAAAATATTGTGCGAGTGTTTGGTTTTTTCTCACCCTCAGCTATTCAGATTGTGTCTACGGCCCGTCATTGCTACAGCGAGATAAGGAGCGCCTTAGCGTACTCAAAATTCTTGTATGAGGTTTGTTCGTGGTATTAGAAGGCGGAAGTCAACCTCTCTTCACTTAGAGAATTTAAGTTGCCTTAATATAGGAAAAGAAGGTTCCTTCATTGATGCGTACTATACCACAAAATACTCAATACTCACCATCCTATCTTTACAAATGAGATCAAAACCCGTACCGCACCTAAATTTAACACATCGAATTATATACTTACAAAAAAAGATAAACACCAACGTATGTTTATTCGATTTTAAGAATTTTTGGCATATATTATGTTCAGTGTCCCTTACTAGTAAAATGACTAAATTTTTAGCTAGATTCGTCAACTGACTGCAGAAGCAATAATGTGTTGAGGATCCATGATTTCTTATACACTCATTGAAACGCCTGGGCATCGGGCTGATAAGGTGGTCGATTTCCTGTTGGGATATCTCTTTCCAGGCTACTGCAACTACGTGACTAAGAGCCTGCGACCTATCATGCCTCAGGCACGGTCAATTGGAGATAGGTCCGGCGATCGTGGTGGCCAAGGTAAACGGTTGATGCAATGTTGATCCACGAAGGCTAACGATGCTCTGGAAACATGCGGTCTGGCATTGTCTTGTGGAAAAATCGGGTTTTGGATGGTGTTTAAGTATGCAATAAGATGAGGCTCGACTACTTCCTGATGATAGCGTCGGGCTGTCATATTGCCTCTGATGAAAATTAGTGGTGATCTGCTACCATAAGCAATAGCACCCCATACCATAGCTCGCACGGTGTGGTGAACGTGAGGCTCTCTGTTAAATTGTGGGTCACGTCTTTCACCTCGTCGCCTTCTCACTCTTATCGTATCACCAGACAGAAGCGGGGTTCGCCCCTAAAGACCACCTGATCCTCTTTCCGATCCCATAGAATTCTTTCTCTACACCAGAGCAAACGGTTACCCCGATGTTCAGCTGTGAGAGGTAGTACCCAATGTGGGCGATAAGAAAAAAGGACAAACTGTCGTATTCGGCCGTATGCATACGAACCATTCTTCCATGCTCTTCAAACCACTGATTAGCGATGGGTCGAGTACTACTGAATCTGTCTTTCATAGCTAGAAGTCTTAAGGATCCCCCAAACCGACGCGAATATTTCGCAGCGACTGCGATTGATTCCCGACGACATTGTCGCCCAGAGACTCTTCTCGTAGAAGCAAATGAACAAGAACAGACCTGTGCGTCAACTTCGCTCACAGCGGTGCGACAGTGCAGCGTCTAAATTATAATTCGCTGCTTGCACGATTTTTATCGCTGTCGCAATGGCAAACACTGAAAGACTTCTGGAAATAATTAAACAATTTCCAATTCTCTATGACTTGAACAACGAGGACTACAAAAATGTTCGAAAAAAAGACAAAGTCTGGGATGAGATAGGGGTGGAATTGAATGACACCGGTAAGTTACCCTTTACTGAGAAATTATTATAATACGTTTATTATTTATGAATGGCTTAGCTAAGCTGATCTTGACCAACAATATTAGGAGTTGAAGTAGTCAACAAGTTTTTCTCGAGTAGAAAATGCCAGATTCGTTGCACGTCTTGGATCATTTTCGATGTTGGTAAAGGCTTGTGATGGATCTGGATCTTCGTCTAGAAGGTGCATATACTGTTCGTCACATTGCTTACTGCGTAAAAAATTATGCAGAACGCATATAGTTTTTACTATTAAAATTGTAGTATCTGTTTTCGTTTCCATGGGCCTATAAAAAATTCTTCACTTTTGAATCCCAAAAGATTTTCCACTACTCTCCGCGCCCTGCACAGCCCAGTATTGTATTTTTCTTTTCTAGCGTCTGCTTTCGTCTGTCTATATGGAAACGGTCTCATTAGGTAGGGTTTAAGGGCAAATCCTTCATCTCCAATCAAAACATGAGGGCATGGTTCCCTCTGTCCAGGTAGAGGCTTATCTTCTGCAATGTGCATCAACCCAGCTTCAAATCGTTGTCCCATGGTAGAAGCTTCGAATATTCTTCCGTCACTATTTTTCCCGAAGCCACCGATATCTACGCATATAAACTTGTAGTATGGATCAACGATTGTCATTAGCACAGTAGAACATTTTTTTAAATAACAGAAGTGGGTTGATCCTGTTTTATCGGGGCATTTGATGGTTACGTGTTTCCCGTCCAAGCTTCCAATACAGTTCACATTTCTCTAAATCCGTCTGCACTCTTCTGCCATATTTCCTTTGTTGGCTCAAGTAAATACTTTTTTCCCATTCGATTGCAGATAGCCGTACAGATTTCTGTCACAATCTGGCTTACGGTTGAAAATCCAACTCTGAAACTATGCCCAATTGTATAAAAAGTATCTCCCGTTGTAAGAAATCTGAAAAAGAATCAATATTTTAAAATATGTTTTGGCTTTTCAGGTGTCAACTTGTTTTAATTTGATTTTCAAGCTACACTCTCACACCGTTTACTGCCAATCCACTGCGATCTTTATGCTTCGATATGAAAGTCCCTCAAATGTTCGCAGCGAATTTCGCGAGAATTGTATCGCCACGAATATCGCAGCGGATTAATCGTGTTGGTTTTGGGGATCCTTTAACCGGTGCGGCGGTCTTGTCGCTCTGTGTTCCCTCTGGGACGTCCAGAACCCATCGCTCGCTGTTCTCGGCAAACAATACACGCAGCCACCATAAAAACTTAACAGATAAACTTGACCATTTTATCACTTGTTGTTCATGGCCAGATAAATCGATATGTAAAAAATTCTTGAATTCTAATAAACATAAGTAGGTGTTTTTTGTCTTTCAGTATAATTGCTCTTTTTCATATGATACATGTAGCCAAGGTTCACAACTCGCTGCCTGATAGAATTAAAGGCCTATCAATTTTGAGATCTGTACGAGAAGTGAAGACTATGTTGAGACTTGAGATGACTTAAATTTTACATTTCACGCTGATTTACCAATTATTCATCTGTATGTCTTTTTTGTTTGATGCTTGACATTTTAGGTGCATTTATAAAACATTAGCTATAACTTCTAGCTGTTCATTCAAACATCAACTCCTCGTTTATTATAGGTTTTATCAAGCTGCCAATAGTTATATGTCATCTATTTATAATATAATATCAAGTTCAAAACATAATGTCTGTATGTATCTGTATTAACTTTTCTCTATTATAATTTTATCAAGTATTGTATATTACTGATATATTACTTTCCTTTTTCTGGTTAGATGGAATAGAGATTTTCAACTAATGGTTGTCAATCAAGCGAACCTTGCCGTTTGCTCACTGCATCATAATTATGATGTCTTTTTTTTCTGTACTTACATGAACTATAAAAGCAATTTATTATTATTATTATTTTTATTATTATTAATTTAGCAACCTGCTGTATTCATTCGAGAAAGGCAGTCGATTCTGAAAGCCTACACCGATACTTGGCTACGTCGAGCACATACATGCGTCTTTGAATCTAACACAAACAGCTTTGAGCAATACTTCAAGTGAAAGAGCTCTTCTTTAAATTTCTTTTCGATGAACCGTGAGTACTTTTTTATCGATTTTTTTTACTTTTTCGCTGTTGTTTCACATAACATCAGCTTTGTTATTTCAAACGTAGTTGTTTCTGAAAAAGAAAGGCCTAACTTTCAGGACACCCTCAATTTAGCTCAATCCTTTGTCTAAAAATAAAAATTTAAACAGTCTGTTTTATGTAGCCATCTTTGTATTCCTATTTCAAATGGAGTTTGTTATTGTCTTCAACAGTCAGCAAGCATCCCAATGTTTTTATTACCCGAACCGTACTTGAGTTAATAAAAGAATAACGAATTGTAGGTTTTACTTCGTTTTCGAGGAAAAAATAAAAGCGATCTCATTACATGTAGAAAAATTGTAAAAATAAAATCAAGTTGATCGACGCACAATATTTAAATAAGCCATCTTTAAAAATCTAAGGAATGAAAAGTAATAACAACTTGACAAAATAATTACAAAAAAATGTTAGAAATGATTCTTGAGATATTTATAAAAACCATTTTATTTTAACTTTGACAGTCTGTAACTTTTAAGACACATGTATATGTGATCTTTTATATTTGAATTTGATTGAGGAATACGACCTTGTAATTACGGTCTACCCCGTATATTTTTATTGTGTTCAAGAGCACTCGTTTGTTGGTATGTCGCATCCGTATATGGGAACACATTAATCCAAAATGATACGTAATTGTAAGATTGCCCGCCATTATCTGCCATCTATAAATAAGATTAAGATGCCGCCGTCTCGGCATATAGACACGCCCTTAGACGCATTCATCAAGACAATAGATTTGTCATTTGGCACGTAATGAGTCCATTTCATTCTTCCCAGACGTACCTACTTCGCAGTTTAGATTTGGTTTCCTTATTCGTCTATCTCACTCAATTTGTATGCACATTATATCCTGTCCGACATCAATTTCATTATCTTTACGATAGATATATCACATATACGAGACTTCGTCTTTTAGTACGAGAAATTTTGGACACAGGTTCTTGCCTTTGGTCGTTTTAGATGTCCTAAGATATCGAGTTGTACCAGATTTCATTTACTTGTAGCTATGGGAAATTAAAATAGAATTCGTTACTCACGCAAATTAGGTACGTTGATCAAGAATGTGTTTATTTTTTACTTCCCATGCTGACTGGCGAGGAAGGATTGTAATCGTGAAAAATTTCGAAAATGAGATATGTTTATAGATGTTATATGGCATTGACAATTGTGACATTCTGGTCTATCAAAAGGAATACCGCGTCGATAATAATGTCAACGAAAACAAGACAAAGACAGCTATTGTCTCCTAGCGATAGTATAAATGAAGAGCTAATCACTAGAGTTTGTAAACAACAATCCATTTTCTTGATGGAACAGCTTGATGAGAGATTTACAAAGATCGAATCTAGCATGAAAACTTTCACTACCGCCGTTGCGGAAAATTCTTCAAAAATTTGTCATCTGGAAACTAAGCTAGATGATACTGAACGGCAGCGAAAATTGAATAACATTCTTCTTTACGGTTTGGAAGACTTCTATAGGGAAGGAAACCTAGAGAAAAGGTACTGAAATGGTTTGAGACCAACCTAAAAACAGAAATTAACTCGAGTGGAATCGAGAGGTGCTTCAGGTTAGGTGGGTTCAAAGATGATGTCGTCCCATTTTTATCAGATTTCCAAAAAGCGCCTACTGAAAAGCTCTACGTTTACTCTACGTGAAGATCTAACTCCGGCATCTTTAGATTTACTTCATGCAGCATCCAGGAAATATGGAAGAAGACTCGTCTGGAGCCTTGACGGCAAAATATATGCTTTGGTCAACAATCAGAAGAAAATTATTACTACGACGGATGTGTTGAGCGAGTGAGTGCATTGCCTTATCTTTTGACTATTTGGGTATCTGGATTCCTTATCATTTTTTGCATCCTCATGTTTATTAGCCAAAAAAAAAAATGGGATTGCTGTAATAGCTAGACGAATGTATACCTTACGTACTATGTTCTTACTGATAAATATACTAAGTGACATATAAATCCGAACACCCAGTTTAAATGGTTTTATTTTAATAAAATTTTGTATAAGTACTTAATGAAGCGTAATAAGTAAATGATAAAAATTTCAAAATGATTGCACTGCTTTAAAGCCCTTTGACCTTTAATAATGTGTGGATGCACCCTGATGTGCTACGCATTCTCCAACGCGCCTACGCATGCTTCTGATCAGGTGGTGAATGTCCTCCTGTGGTATCTCATTCCAGGCAACCACCAACTCCTCTCGAAGTGCTTCTAGAGTCTGAAGAGGACGTTGCAAATTGAGCAATCTCCTACCCATCATATCCCACACGTGCTCAATTGGGGATAAGTCGGGAGATCTTGGTGGCCATGGTAACAATGTGACATCATTATGTTGAAAGAAGTCTATTGTGACTCTTGCAACATGTGGCCGGGCATTATCTTGTTGGAAAGTTGGATCTGCCAGGGTGTCAAGATAGGGTAAAAGATGGGGTTCTAGAACTTCGTGGATATAACGCTGCGCGTTCATGTTACCTCTGATGAAGATTAAAGGTGAACTGGAACCATAAGCAATAGCACCCCAAACCATAACTCCAACAGTGTGATGAACATGTCTTTCAACAAAAAACTGTGGATTCCTCCTTTCACCACGTCGCCTTCTAACCCTGGCACGACCATCGTGCATGCCTAAACAAAATCGAGACTCGTCACTAAAGACAATACTGTTCCATTCCTGATCCCAGAGTGACCGCTGTCTGCACCACTCAAGGCGATTACGTCGGTGTTCTCGAGTTAAAGGGAGGACCCAGTGTGGCCGGTATGAAAACAAGCCAAAACTTCTCATTCGTCGGTAAACACTTCGCATGCCAATAGGTCTTCCGTGTTCTGCAAACCATTCATTTGCAATGGACCTGGTAGTGGAGAAACGGTCCCTTAAGGCCAATAATCTTAGGCGGCGATCTTCACGGTCTGTTGTTCTACGGCGGCATCCAGTGCCCCTTGCTCTTTGCGTACGGCCTTCTCGAAGCCATGCCTGACAACACCTAACCACAGTGTCTACACTTCTTTGCACTCTAACTGCAATTGCCCGAAAAGAAAGTCCAGCTTCCCGAAGTCCCACTATACGGCCCCTATCAAACTCGCTAAGTTGACGAAATCGTACAGGTCTCCGTACTCTAGGCATCGTAACCGATCGTAAAGGATGTCAAGAACCAAAATCCGCCAACGTTGATTCTTTACTGCGGCTGAAATATTCATTTTTAGAGCGTTAGTGAATTAAAAAAAAGCAGTATAAAAACCGGAATGTCCAACTGATAAGGCTGAAAATTTTTTCACTTGGTATTTACAGTAAGATAAATACATTCACCAACTTTTATTAAAATAAAACCATTTAAACTGGGTGTTCGGATTTATATGTCACTTAGTATATGTTCCCAAGGTTGTTATTTATATTCTGTAGTGTTCTGGGAAAAAGTTGTTCTTATTTTTCTATAACTCTCAGTGAAGGGTTATTGTTTATTTTTGTATTTTATTTTATAAGTATAT